CATATTTGTTCACATGTGTGTTTACTCACTCCCACTCCAGGTTGCATACCTCAGACTTGAGTATGCATGAGAGAAATAAAGCACAGGAACTTTTTCTACCTATCAGCTTTCTTAAATATAAGCGCGCACACAAAGCACTTTCCTGCCATTGCTGTAACCTTGAGACTGAACATGAACATGCATATCTCTGGCACACAGACACCAAATGGTTTAACTGGGTTTAATGTGTGTTAACATGGAGCTTTGCCAACTCTCCCTGCAAAAAGAAGTCATCCTCTCTTCTCCTCTTGAACCATCCTCAAGACTTGGGAAAAATACCCACTGGAATTGTCTGAATACTCTTACCAGAGCTGAGTCAGACATAGGTCATAAAAATTAAGACTTGAAACTTGACTTACTCCTATGAGGCTTGACTCACTTGAGACTTTAAAATTAAAAACAATCAAGTCTTAAGTTTTGACCATTACATATTATGTTATATATTGTATATGTCAACTACTAGTTGAGTGGATTCAGTCGTTCTTTCCTATGCCAAACCCTGGACTCTGAGGCAGGAAGGGTCAAGTTATTCCACTAAAAAGCACTTGGATGGCCACAATTTTCAGATGTCTATGTCCAGCTGGAGTAAGAGGCTTGATCAGGTCCGTACTCCGAGTGCTGGCTGCAGCCTCTTGTGCGATCAGTAATAATAAGGTTGCCTCACCAAATATTAACTACCCACCTCTTTTGCAGTTCTTTGTCTTTGGGAAATGTGTGGAAACTGATAACAGAGTCGAACTTGGCAGAAGCTGTACATAGTGGGACACAGCAGTGATGGCTGGTAGGCTACTGTTCTCCTCTCGTTTTTGAAATATAACCATTTTCAGAGGTTTTGAGCTCACGGCATAACTGTTACAAACCTCAAAAATGCCAATAAAAAAAATAAAGAAGCAAAGAGATTATGCCATTTTTGACTAGGATTACTATCCTAGTTCGTTGTTGTCTATTCTATTTTGACAAAGGGACTGTTTCAAAAAGCTGCTTTTTCTGCACGGCTGCTCAACAGACTTTTGTTTTCTTTAGCAGTCCTCTGTATTGGCTGTGGTATTTTGACTTTATTCTTCTTTTCGACCATTTGCTGTGATTTTCAGACTTTTGGCCTTCAGAAGTGTCTACATATTAACTTAACATTTTTGTCCTCTTCTTTTTTTCTTGTAATAAGTTGGGGGTGGCTGCCACCTTTTCCCAAACATAATTATGACATGACTTGACAATGGATAATCAGTGCTAAACCAGCCTGCTTTCCTCTGTTACAACTGTGCAAGTGGTAGGGGATGGGACATTTATAAACTGTCTTCTTTAAATAGGTTCATCAGTGTATTTATTTTGTGCCACATCTTTTTTCATCATTGAAGAGAATAGACTAACCCTCACAAAGTGGCATGCTACTTGGGCCAGGACATGATGCCCTTGTACCAGAGTAACATTTGGTCAGAAATTTAAATTAATTCTTCATCATTCAAGCTCACCAATGCATACAAAGGCATGCTCTTACTTGTCATTTAATCAGTGGTGGAAAGCAACTAAGTACATTTATTCAAGTACTGTACTTAAAGTACAATTTGAGGTACCTGTACCTTTATTTTGATTTTCTGCTGCTTCATACTTCCACCAAATCATGACAATCATCATCATCATCATCATCATCATCATCATCATCATCATATTCAAGTTGATTGTGCCATTCTGCATATATGCTAATACCTTTTGTATATTTGCTTAAGTAATATTTTGAGTGCAGTACTTTTACTCTTAAAAGTATTTTTGTTATTTTATTACTTTTACTTAAGTATGAGATCTGAGAACTTCCACCAATGTGTCCACCTTTATTTAAAGCTGCATGAAGCAGTATGTTGTATAATTTTTTTTTTAAACCTTAACCATACTGTATTGAATTGGATTGAATGATAAAAAGTTGAAATTGGATGTTAAATAAATGTCATTGTGCATAATCTGCAGTTTGCAGAATTGCCTGATATTTACATTCTTGTGTGGTGATAGGATCGACTGTCTCTTTTCTACACTGCGAGCACATATGGTCTCAAGATCCAAAGGGAAAAAAATCTATTGCTTGCTGTCCATTGCCAGCACAGGCACTTTATTTCTTTAGTGTAGACTAACTTTTAGGCCTAACAGATATTACACAGCAATGACTACCTGCCATGTTGTTCTCTGTTTGCTTTCCCCCCTGAAGCCATGATAGTTTTATTTGATGTGAGGGATAAAAAACAAAGGTGGTGGGAGAGATACGAACATGTTCAAATCCTTGCAGAGCAGAATTCACTCTGTAAAAGACACTTTTTGGTACCAATGCTACTGAAAAAAACAGAAGTAAAAACAAGATATGTTTAGTAATAAAATCCACTATGAATTTGTATTTATTTTTAGCAGTGATGTATATTGAACTGAATAGATCTGTGTGCCTACAAATCCATCTTGTGGCCATCAGGAGTGATACTCTGCTAGGAAAAAGTGTATCTTTGAAATGTATACAGATGCATATGACGGTGGATGAATACACCTTTGCACATCACAGACATCTATGACTGCAAACAAGCTTGTATCTACTGTGTATACCCAGGAAAAATCATTTTGAGGTTAAAGCACAGATACACTTGGATGATTTCCACTCACTGTACACAAACCCCCAAATGTAAAATCTGCCTGCATCCATGCAAATAACCTGCAACTTCAGCAAACATAACAGTAAAGATTCACTGCTGTTTATAATGGCAGGATACCAACGCTGTGTAGCAACTGCACATTATAGCATAAGAGTGACATATGGTGACAGGGCAGCCAGGTTTATTTGCAGGACACTTAGAATACACTAAGAGAGATAAAGCGCAGTGAGATAACACACACCTGTTCCCTGCTCATACATTTTAATTCACACCACATATTTTTAGCTGTGTATCAAATCAAAATATCCATTTGGTCTTTTTGTCCAGCCTGTCATGATGTTGTCCAGCCTACTCTGACATGCCAGGCTGCCACCACTATGGGTAGGTGCTAAAATGTGGGTAAATGGTTTGTTTTAATAGGAGCACACAGAAACTGCTGCTAACACAAGCAACAAAAGTCCCCAGATATCCCAAACACATAAACACACAATGAACTGAGAATGTGCAAAATGTACTAAATGAAGTTTTCTGGTGTTGCACTTTGTGGTGTGAACCAGTGGATGTAAAGGTCATTCTTCAACCAGAGAGCCCCAGTAATTCAAATCAGTTTGATAGAAAGGTTTTAGCAGAAAATAAAGCAGTACAGTTAAGTTCACACTCCACCAACCATCCACTGGGTCTACTTTAAATCAAAAGGAAGCAGCTCCCGGGTGTACATCTTTTTGATGATGTTGCAAATCGAAGCCTTACTGCTCTAGTTTATGTCTCTGAAAAAGCATAAGTTTTGTCCTGCAGGACTCTGTTTCTCTTCTTGCAAATTTAAGATGCTAAAATCTTGCTTTCACTGTTACCTGACGTTTTATACACTGAACAATCAATCAGTACTGATAATGACAATAATTTGTTACAGCCACAATACTCCTATGATGGATTAATACTACCTTTCCCCAGGTCTTCTACAATATGTGCCCTCTACAAAGGCTTTTCACAAAATGGAGGATGAACTGATATTATACTTCGCTGCTGCAAATTTCAGCCAAATTGAATTTTAATATTTTGTACATTTATATGGCTGCCATCTCGGCCAGGACTCCCTTGAAGGAGAGGTCTTGATCTCAAAGGGACTTCCTGGTAAAATGAAGGTTAAATAAAATAAATTTAAAAAATTGTGATCAGTCTAATCATTTGGATCCAAATTATTTGCCATAAACCTGGGGCCAGTTTCACAAAATAAAATGTCTTGTTGAAATCATCCCCAGGGACCAGTGTAAATGTTGCTCTTAGATTAGTTTCTAATACAAGGTAGACAGTTCCATAAAAATGAAAACCAATTTATTTTAAGCCTAAAAATTGGCCCTTCCTACCTTCGAGCTAATGTATAACTATGTTTCTATGGTAACAATCAGTGACACACATGCTGACCAAAAGGGGAAAACATGGTTCATACTGTAATTTGTGGTTTGTTGATAGTACTGTGGAGTGACCAGTGAGAAGTGTTTTTAGAGCCTTGTTGTTGTTGTTGTTGTTACATTCTTCGCTGAATGTTTTCTGCAACCGTTCAATTCTTCTAGGAGACATTTTCTGAAGGGAACTGAAAGGTTTGATGGGATTGTTCAGTCTGCCGTGTTTTTTTTTTTTAGGTTGAAAAAGCTGTAATTTACCCAGAATTCACAGCAAATTAGTCCCAACTTTAGATAGTTAAGAAAGTAGCTTTCCCACAACAGATGCATTTAAATGTCTCTCTAGAATCTTGCTGTTACAGCTAGAGTAAGCCATAGTCAAAGTTTGTCTTTGTGAAAATGACCTGTGGAGCTTTTGGGCCCCCTGGGAGCACAAGGCTCCTGGGTGGTTGTGGTCAGGGCAGTGTTGGAAAAAAAGTACTCAGATCCTCTACTTACAAGTAAACGTAGCAATACCATAGTGTAAAAATACTCAGTTAAAAAGTAAGACTTGTTTTAAAAATGTTAAGTAAAAGTATTTGCATAAAAATATGCTTAACCATGCATAGATTGTGAATTAAAACGATTAATGCAATATACATCCCCTTATTGTTGCAGTTTGTACAGATGGAGCTGATTTTAACTACCCTATGCTGTTTTGATGATCATATAATTTGAAATTACAATTTAAATTACCTCACAAACTACTGGGGATCTTGTGAATTTTCCACCCAGGACGTCACAATTAACTTAACAAATATAAATCATAATCGAAACAAATACGCATACATTTGACCCATTATATTGTTGGCTTGTTTTATTTTAATTTGTTCTTTAATCATGTCCTACCTCGTGACGTCAGACACTTTCTCTCCCTCGCTCCCTCTCTCCCCGTCTCTCGCGCTCGCTCCCTCGATCCGCGTGAAACAAAGTATAGTGTCCGCGAGCCCGCAGGAAGCGAAAATAGAGAAAGGGGAGAATGGGGAGGATGAATCCACAACAACAGGAGGAATAATAACCCAGTGAGAAATAAATTAGACTGGAAACGGAGAAACTCCCCGGGGGAAAAAAACTTTTCGGTGGGGAAACTGTTCACGACCACATTTTAAAACATGGATACACTTTTCTCCGTATTCCTGGGACTCCTGTTTCTCTTTTCGACTGTTTCCGGTCAGATACCGACAGGTAAGGGCGAACAGTGAAAACATAGCCAGCTTGGAGTGTTTTCTGTTGTGAAATGAATGTTTGGACGTTATTTTTGCTTTGTGTAAGCCCGTGAATTCCTCACAGGTGTGTTTAGGTGTGTGAGAAAAGTTAGCCTCCGTGCTGAAAAGGTACAGTCGAGCCTGTTTTACCGCTTTTAGGCTGCTTTTATATATCCACGGATGTGACAAAGTTTATCATGAACTGAAGATGCTTTTCCCCACTGTTACAATATGAAACGCTCCTTTCTTTACATGAATTCGTATTTAAGCCTGTGTGAGATTGTCGCCTCTTGTCTGAACTCGCCCCTGTTTGCCAAGCAGGCTACACTTCCTTGCACAAATGACTAACAGTGACCTAATAGCTGGATCGTGAACTCTTTATTTTTAAACGTTTAAAAGTGAGTTGCAGCATTTCCGTCGCATCACAGGACAATCGATTATCTGTACAACTCTAACAAAATATGTAATTTAATGACCAAAGAAACAATTAAGATGCATTTAATTGCTGTCATGGCAGGTCACTGGCTCCATTTGGCAGTATTTACAGCTTTTATATCGGGGTACCGGTTAATAAGATGTATTGTACGGAGAGTTTGTATTAGGAGAGCGGGGGAAGGTGGTTCACGGTGGAGCCGTGCAGCCTCGCGAATAGCGCACGAACGGAGAAAAGTTAGTGTACTGTACGCACGAAGATCACCCCCAATAACTAGCCTATTTTATTCGTGCAGTACAACGAATCATACAATCTTGTACTGAATCGTATTTCCATCCTGATCCTATCTATAATCCGTGATGTGTAAAAGTATTTGCTCTTTGGTCAGAACGGTCGGTTCGGCTGGCAAGCGCCGGGACTCGTTGGCTTTTTGCAAACCAAGTGAGCCTCTTCTAACTTTTATTTGCACTGCCTGCGATAAAAACCTAGTGGCTGGGACTATATCCTGCACACCGATCTCCTATTTCATGATGCGAATAGTGTTTTTGCACTGTATGATTTTGACTTGAGGAGAAAACGATGAAGAGGATCAGTCCTCTTTTTCTTTGAAGACCCCGATTTAACTGTAAATCAGTGAAATTATGTTAAACAGTCATAGTTAAACTATAATCATGTGCATGCAAATGAAATGACCGTGACATTAAATTATTCTTAATTTTACTCAAGCCCCCCTAGGACTTTCGTCCTCGGACTCCAGTTTGAGCACATCAGCCGTAACCCGCATAGCAAAGTGTTCCTCTGCTCCCCTTTCGTCTGTCTCGTGTAAAAACATGAATCCACGACGAGACGAAAAGGCTGCCACCGTGCATCTTGATGCGCTCCGGGAGCCCAGTCAATGAAACCGAAAAGGAAGTTAATATGTAGGTTGTGTTAGTGCATGACTTGTTGGGATGCGTAAAATGACAAACTATTGTCTGCAGCTTTCGGTCTCCGCGCAAGCAAACTCTCCCTACCTGTGTGTGTGTGTGCGTGTCTGTCTGCCTGGCTGGGGTGCGTTTTATTTCCGCATTCAGCGTATGTTCAGTTCTGAACTCCAGCACAGAGAGAGGAGGAGAGAGGCACAAGCAGCTGTTTGAAAGTTGACCTCCAAAAACTCTCCAAGACTATATACGGCTGTAATAAAGGACACATCACGCTCCACTGAGTCGCTGGAACCGACCAGAAATAGTATAATAATGTCGTTTTCTGCTCCAGTATTCGCTTAGGCTTGTTAATGATTTGCATAGAAATTACACATTAATTACCACTTCATCTGTGAACGTTTTATTGCCCCCCTCCCCACCCTTATATCCTTTAACTACACCCCTCTCTCCCTCCCAGTGGCCATTTGGTCCGCTGGGTAACAAATGTGTGGAATTTCTTTGAGGCCTCTTGGGGAATTTGAAGGCTGCTAATTTGCAAGCAAATACTAGTGACTATATGATGCTTTACACAGCGAGGGAGGTAGCATAAGAGAGCTTGCAGTTGGTTGTGTTGGGGGATTTTTATAAAAGCAAGCACCAATAAAATTATTCATGGTAAATGAGATTCAGGGAAAAGGACTGATTAATCCAGTTTCTAGGGTGTAATATGTAATTGCTATGCCCTTTTCTGTATAAACTAATTGATGAAAAAGAGTTTAATTCAGAGTTTAAGACAACAACTTGACATTTATCTGGCTATCACGACAAGGCCTTGCATGCGGTGCAAAGAGAGCGCAGATGATGTTGGATTTTTACAAAGGAGCACAGTCATTTCTATAAATGACAGCACATTAATTTCATCAGTTCATGTGTAACCAATGAGGCTGAAAGGGTTATTGGGCACATCATTAATACAGCCAGTGTGAACTTTCAAGTGGTGATTATTAGATCAGAAGCCAATAATGAAGGAGATCTTATGGAAAATCACAGGAGAGACTTGGCGCAGTGGTGCAGTATCAGTAGGCTGCACTCGGAAATCACACAGACGAGGACATCAAACCTCAGGGTAATGATATAAAACTGTCTATCATATCTTAACAAAGTCACTTTGACTTTGTGTCTTTTATCTAAATCGGTCTCATTTCTGCCTTTATATTCTAGTTTCCCATTTAGAAAGTCAGACTATATGGAGTTTATATAAATCTGTCTTTCGTCTCTTCTTATCCTGTTTTGTGGCAGTTTTGTTTTGGCTTATCACTTATAAAGTCAGTGTAATAAATGCAAATGAGTGAGTGTCTTCACAAAGTCACTAACTTAACGTTCATTTGACAACTTTCCAAATCTGTCTGCTTTGATCGACTTGTGACACAGATTCCCAGCGTCTTTGATCATAATGAAGTGAAATAACAGTTTTTCATTAGTGTCTCCAGATGAATTAGAAGGCTGCCATTGCTACTGAACACCACATCTGAGCTGGTTTAATTATATATGCAAATTATTTTAGAATTTTCAACATTAGAACCAAGTTGGTTTAATTATAATTACTTTTCAGCTTCATTTGGAAGATGAAATAAAATTGCATGTTTTTCTGGAGAAAGGCGAGAGAAGAGAGTGATTGTGAAGACGCAAAGAAAGAAATAAAGAATGCAACCACTGGTTTTTCGCTGTGGGCATCTCCTCTACTCAAGAGACTGAAAACGGCAGGAGGGAGTGTGCCTGAGTGTCTGTATGTGTGTGTTTCTCTGTCATGCCCTGCATGTGAGCATGGAGCAAATGTGTGTGTCGGCTCGTGTGTTGCTGTCACTTAAAGAAAAAGAGGGAGGCCGATGTTTTTGAGCCTTCTGGAGTACAGTGGTACAAACATAGACATGTGAAATGTTTGTCTTTCATTTAGATTCATGTGAATTCATGTGCCTCTTCGTTCTACTCAAGTCATGTAAAATGGCACCAAATCAAAGGCATTTATTTTCTTGTTAAAATTAATATTTCACTGTGCTAGCCTTCAGATCCATCTTAATGTCTTCTCTTCAAATCAAATGCCACTTTGTCCACAGCCTATGGATTTCAATTTAGTTATATATTAAAAAAAGTGCTTTGAAAATACTGGCTCATTTTTTTTTCCAGCCGTTTGGGGATGAAGCCTGCTTGCACACAAGCATCTGTATAAATGTAATTAATCTGTTCACAGAATTCATTAGCTGATCCCTCCTTAGACTGTGTGCATGTGTGTGTATGAATGAATATCAGGGTTTGTGTTGAAAAATGGATTAGCACCACATAGTGGCTGGGTAGCCTCTGAGAAGAGAAGAGAGTGAGAGAGACTGAGAACATGACATGATTGACAAGACCTCTGGTTCAGGCTCCCATACAACATGAGAAAACTGTAGAACAGGATGCCCTGCTAGCCTCTAGATAAGTTTCCTTTCAACACTGGACAAGTTTTTAGCAAACTTCTGGAATTTTGGCAAAATAAAATATGAAGCAATGTCTGGGTCCATCAGTTACCTTTATGCCACCATATTCAAGAGGACATGACTAGAGTGTATAATTAATTGATCACCGGTATTGCCCCCTGGGGCTATTGTTGACCCTTCATCATGCTGGCAGTGAAGGCAGTAAAACTGCTGTGCCCGTGCTGCCGCAGCATCTGTGTTAAAGGGCAGAGGCGGCTTGGAGCCAAAGGGTGGGACATTTTGATGGCTTTTTTTTCTCCGACCCAAAATCAGTTTTTTAAATCTGAACTTGAATCCAAATCTGTGACCACAGTCATTAACATGTTGTACTTGCACAACAACTTTGAGTCAAAATCATATCATAATGTATGCATCTATGTATAAGCGTTATTTCAGACATAATACGTCCATATCAGAACAAAAACAATAAAAACAAAAATATAAGGGAACACCCTGTGGCAAAGACCCGAAGGACAAAACACCCAGACATAAACAGAGCGATGTGGTGTATGCAATTAAGTGTAGTCAGGAGTGTAATGACTTGTACATTGGTGAAACTAAGCAGCCGCTGCACAAACGCATGGCCCAACACAGGAGGGCCAAGTCCAGTGGACCAGAGTCAGCAGTCCACCTCCACCTGAAGGACAAAGGACATTCTTTTGAGGACAGTGAAGTCCAGATCCTTTCCAGAGAACATCGCTGGTTTGAGAGAGGAGTCAAGGAAGCTATTTTTGTAAAATTAGAACACCCCTCACTAAATAGGGGTGGTGGACTAAGACACAACTTGTCTTCCATCTACAACTCTGTTTTGAGATCTCTGCCCAAACATGCCCACCAGGACAATAGGCATCAGTCCACAGGTGAGGGTTCAAAGACAGGTAACGACTCTCACCGATACTGGGTTATTATGACTCAGTCATTAGGTGACATTGTTGGGCATCAAAGGACTGAAACACCACCGATGGGGATAAATATCTCTGACTCAACACCAGTCGGGCAGAACTGATGAAGCCTCTTGGATGAGAGGTGAAACGTCTTCGACCTAATAAATAAATTTTAAAAAAACCTAGTCCAGTTGATTTTTTCAGCTTACTATGACCTGGATGACTGGGAACAAAAATAAGAGGACAGCACTAAATCACGGCGATTCCCCAATATACTATATGACGATTAAAACACATATAAACATTTGTTCCAGTTTGTCCAATAGCGAGAAATACCTCGTGTCACTTTGCATAGGCTCAGTTAAAACCATTATGACTGCATTTTCTGAGTCCGTTTATCGACACATAGATTTATGTGCCGATAAACTATAAGGAGACACGTGTTATACGTCACGCCTCTATTACTGGGATGCTGGCGGCTGTCTACAAAGAAGACTGCTGGTTTTGTTTGGCTTAATATAAATAAGCAACTCAACTTAAGAGCAGTATCGTGGGCCCTCATATTTATAAACTAAAGAAGTTGAGTTTGGCTTTTATTTAAATCTCAAGCAAGATGATATATTTCCACTGTTTTCATGAATTTCTGGTGTTTCCACTATTTTGTGCACAACTTTTTGATTTAGCAGTTGGAAATGTACCTGTTATGGTCAGGATGTTTATATACTCTATGGGCTCATAATGGGTGTAAATCATCTGTCAGAAGAAGGAAGTGAACCAAGAAGGTGGAATCATCCCACTGGAAATTAACGGAGGCACTAAATCCAAAACAAATCCCTGAAATATTGCATCCCTGATGAATGATGGTTTTTGGTCCGATGTTATCAATCTCTGCTCTACCTTGTTTGGCTCTGGCCACAGCTATGGGTACAAGGGCGCCTTGAAACACACAACTGCCTCACACACACACACACACACACACACATTTACACACATGGCTGGCTAATGACAGATTAAGTAATCAACACACTCAGCTGATTAATTACATTACAGTGAGCGTGCACACACACTTTGCCTCACACTCACACAGACACTGATGTGAGCAGTCTCACTAATAGTCATGTGTGTGGTGGTAATGATATATGTAATGGAGACGTAGCTGGTGTGGGTGTGTGTGTTAGGAATAAGAGAGGTTGTTAGAAGTAGACTGGTGAAGACAGTCCTGGGAAATTATTATTTTTAGGATTGCCCTCAGGGTTAGGTGACGCACAGGCTAAGCATGTCGATTTTGAAAGTAGACAACAGAAGACATCCCAACCTTTTTGTTCTGACTTCTTTCCAAAGCCACTCCTTCAAACCACAACGTGCATTGCAATGCCTACTGCCTGACTACTACTTACAGATTTCAGGAAAATAACAAACAAAACGAAACCGATAATTACCTGCCCAGCAGAAATAAGGTCACTTTTGTTGTCTCAGTTGTAACCCTCAGATCTGCAGCCCCAAACAGTAGTGGGGGAACTTTGGTTCATGGCTAAGCTGCTTTAGCTTTGACTTGTAGCAACTAGCTTTAGAAGTCCAGGCATTTCCAGCGGTGAGAAGTGAAGAGGGTGACAGAGGTCTCCGTTGGCGAACAAAAGCTCTTGTGGATACCTTCTCTGCTATAGCTCCCTAGGTTTAGCTATCAAAACAGAGCAGTAAGCAGAGTTTTTAGAGTAAATGAGACGAGACAAAAGATAAAAACTTATAGTGGTAGTGCTTTTATAGACACTTTCTTATATCATGGCTGCCAGCAGAAAGGTTAGAAATCTTTGTTGCCACGATGTGCGTTATTGGCACTGACCTGCTGAAATGAACAAACCCTGCATACAACACCTTCAGACGAAGCAGCTTTGTGTTTTTAATGGCAATACTTGAAATTTAGTGTCACACATATAGGAGATGGATGTGATACATAAAAAGGTCCTAGTGGGACTGCACTTAATTATAAAGCCTCATAAACATAAACTACAATAATCTCAACACTTGGTGTACAAGAGTCCAAAACTGGCAAATTTATGATTTAAACAGTTTGTTCAAAGAATAAGTAAAGAGCATAAAACAAGCGTTTGTGTCCAGCTTATGACACGTGGCATTTTTTGTTGCAGTGCAGGAATGTTATTACACAAGCCAGTTGGACATAGAGAGATATGCTGAGTCATTAAACACACACTGCAGTTCTCTTGTGTATGTGTTCCTTTGTGCATGCTTTCTAATCTAATTCTGTCTTATTATTCTCTGCTTTGCTCCTTTTGGACGCAGCTCGCATGGGGCGCGCTGAGAAGGGTGAGTTATGACTGGCCAGCTAAGAGCTGAGTTCCATTTATCATTGTCGTCATCGCTGCCATAGTTGTTATTGTCATCATTAGCCCAGTGTCTTCACCTTAAATCTGTGTTCGTTTTTTAATGTGTATATGCATTGTAGTCTTCTAACCATATTCATCCATCAATAGTGCCAACAAATAGCTGATGTGTCCCATTTGAATTCACCTTGACACACGACTGCAACATCTTCTGAAATACCGTGTGTAGTTAGACAGCTGCTGTGAGGTTTGAAGTTTCCAGGTACTGTATTTAGGTGAGTCAGGTCTTTAATAAAGGAGCTCTGACTAACTTTGTTCCTTCAGCAGATGGACTCTTCTCTTCCGTCCACATAGCTGTCCATTTTAGCAACCTCTCTCTCTCTCTCTGTCTGACACATATCCTCTCTCTCCTTCTCCCTCTGTCTCTCTCTCCTTCACACACACACAAACACTCAGAGTGGCTGCTTAATGAGGGAGTTGTTTTTTTGTTGTCAAAGTGACAGGTTAGTAAAATACACTGCAGACGCTCCATGCAGCAGAGACAGACAGAGAGACTGCTGTGTAACTGTACAGTCAGTGTCCTGCAAGATTTTGCTGTGACAAAATCAAAGAAAGCAAAATGTGTGTACTTACAAAAATGTAATGAAATGAAAATCCTCAGTTCATTTTACACAAGGTCACATTCTGGTTAATCCTTAAAAATGGAAAGAAGAAGCTCTGATTTTTTTTCCCCTTACATTTTTATTTTGTGTGTATGTGGGAGTTGAACATAGGATTAGGAGTGTTATGCTTCAAAACACAAATTATTTAATACAAAAATAACAGAACTAATGAAAGCCCAGTGGGGCAGAAATACTGTTAGTTCATATTAAGTAGGACATCTATTATCTGTACTTCTTATCCTAACGAGGGTCATGGCGCTGGAGCCAATCCCAGCTGACATTGGGTAAGGGGTAGGGTACACCCTGGATGGGTTGCCAGTCTATCACAGGGCTGGCATTTAGAGACGGACACCCACACACACTCCTACAGGCAATTTAGAGTCACCAATCAACCTAAGCTGCCTGTCTTTGAACTGTGGAAGGAAGCCAGAGTATCCGGACAGAACCCACTCAGGCACAGGGAGAACATGCAAACTTTGTACAGAAAGGCCCCGGGTCGGCCGGGGCTTGAACCTGTGAGGTGACAGCGCTAATCACTATTTACTTTGGTCGTGTAACCGCTGGCTGTGTAGTTGTAGCTGATGCACCCTCATAGGATCATGTTTGACTGCCAGCATACTCTTTCAGGTGCTTTCTTTTGAGGTGGTTAAAAAGGTTCATGTTGCCATCTCACATTCAGACGCCGTCTTTGAAGCATTTGTAAATACCTGTTGTTTGGAAAATCCAAACCAGTTCTATATTACTGATGTCAGATTCTTTGTAAGGACCAGCTCCTCTGTATTGACATTTATGCCACTTCGTTGTCAAATAGGGAATGTGAAGGTACGTTACACAGCATTGCATATTTACTATAGAACTGGACTGGCTGAATGTGCACTGTGGCACCAAACAAATTAGCTCCTTGTAGAGCAGTGGTGTCAAACTCAATCGCACTGGGGGCCAAAACTCAAAGCACACTTTAGGTCGCGGGCCGAACAGGATAAAAATTTATTGAACAGACTAAAACTAAACGTTTTTTGAACATCAATATGAATCGAAACAGATAGGATACAATATTATTCCAAAATAAATAAGACACACGGGTTTACCGACAATGTCAGTAAACATATACTCAGCCTCCCACCGGTTTAGAAAGGCTCTGTTTTCAGAATCAACTTTTCTCTTGGCCATTGTTAGGGGCTAGCTTTGACTAGAAATTAGGGTTGTATACATCAACAGATGCTTGATTGATCTGATGTAATTGACGCGGGAATGATCGCAGGTAGCCCATCGTTCGGTAAGGCAGCTGTTGCGCTGCATTATGGGATTTGTAGTTTGTGTGTTATCGGCGCTTCATATGGCCGGGCCATTAAAAAAAAGATATATAAAATGATCTCATGGGCCGGATGTGGCCTGCGGGCCTTGAGTTTGACACGTGTTGTAGAGGAAGATTGTGCAGACATTTTATTCGTTCACAATCTAATAGCATCATATCTCACGCCCCCACTGGAAGCGTAATGTTAAACAGTGTGTGGCTGGTTTTCTGATATTAGTGGACAAGGTTTTTATCTCAGGCAAGGTGCTCTGCCGTAAAACACTGAAGAAACTAACAGACCAACCTATAACACCATTAACATTAGTATTAATGCAATTAACAAATTATTATTCATTAACACAATTAACGTTCCAATATAAAGTTTACATTTAAGGGCCCTAAGGTGGGGAGCTGGTCCTGCCAGGTATCAGCCTTGGTATAGAAAGCTTCCAGTAATCTCCCGCTTCCCTGTTGTTACTATAACCAAACCCTGACATTGTCCTGCATGTTTAGCAAATGTTTGATGATACTGGTGTTGAGCCAAACCATTGTGCAGGAGTGTTGGGGAATTCTGGCGGCTCATTTGGCTAGAGTGTAACCAAATGCTCTGGTTTTAAAACTGTCCCGGGTCACTTTTTTGAAACATTTGCTTTTAGAGAAGTGGGTCATCATCCAAAGTATGACGTTTTTAGGTGCATGTGCCTTTCAGTGTCTTTACTAGGGCTATTTCTGTTATCCTTGAAGCTCCTTACAAGACACTTTAGACACATTAAGATAAGAAAGTTTCTTTAAAGTGACAGACAACATCAGATTTCATTCAAGAGGCAGGCAAACTCTTCATAAAAAACAGTTTTTTACAGTAGCTTTTTCTTCCAATTGAAATGTGACAACCCAACTGTGTGTGCGTCTGTTTGTATGTACCTATGCATGTGCATGTGGGATTGTGCCTCTTTGTGTTAGCCTTCAGGTGGACTGGTTACATAGACATGGTGCTTGTGTCAGTGTGTGTATGCGTGTAGCTATGGGCAGTGACCTAAGTGGTTCCCATTAGTCTATTTAAGAATACATCTACCATCAAGCATGCACTCACATACACAGAAGTTGTATAAGCAATTGTGGTGCAGCATACCATAGAAAGTCTCCTTCCTGGTCTCTGTGTGCAGTCTCATGATAAAATCCCAAAGGACATTCTGCTACATTCACTGTCAGACATGTATGTATGTATATACTGATATCAAAAAGGACACTATTTTTCCTCTCTTTACATTCCTTTCCAAAACCTCATCTCTCCTCTGCTCTTTAAGCTGATTTCAGTTCAAGAGCAGCAGAAAGCTTTTGAGATATATAAACCCTTTTCTCTGTGTGTGTATGAATCAGGGACTTACAGCGAGATGCCCAGTCCATTAAGATTATCGTTTCCATCCCTGAGCACATAGCTTCACATCACCACAGTTCTGGTCCTGTGTCTGTCTGTGTGAACAGAGATTTAAATCTTCTAGCAGATATTCCTGAGCTATCTTTTTCCTCTAAATGATGGTACACTGTGTTTTTTTTGTAATCTGTCTGCCACCATAATCTATCTGTCGCTGGCCCTGTCTGTCTTCCTGCCAGCCAGCCTGTGTGTGTGTCCGTCCTGTCTGCAGATGACTAGATGACTGCAGACACATGGTCAGCCTGACAAGTGATTGCATACACATATACACACCTCCAGTCCATCACTCTAACAGACAGGCTGCGTGTGGGAGTGTGGAGACAGACATTTAAATGCCCAACATCTGTCTGTCTGTCAGATTTCCAGTTGGTCCGCCTGTGCCTTGAAACACTGTAGTGAAGTGGTGAAGACTGAATTAAAAGTTCAGTCTTTCGGTAGTGTGTAGACACATTAGAATACATGTGGGAACACATTCTGAATATAGTGTTGTATATAATGTTGTCTTAATTTCAAAGTAACCCTTATTTGGTGAATAATAAAATGTTGCCAGTAAGTAGCTGGTTAATATATGTGGATCATTAATCTCTGATGTGTGCGATTATGATTCAGTGTTTTCCTTCCAACTCAACTGTATCTTCAGCTCTTGATTGCACTTTTGCACAAAACAAGTACTGCAGATTTCGTACACTGTCTCTTCAGAAAGGAAAAGCGACTACAGACCCCATTTAGACTGGGTTTTAAAATGCGCCCTGGGCGATCGGATCCCAAGTGGACAGCGCTAAACACCCGCCACGATGGACTGTGATAAAACCACATACCGAGTGTAGTGTGAATACTATTGTGTCCTGGCATACGTCAAAATGCAGCATGACTAACAGCTAGAGCAGCTCACTAACTTAGAGACCAGGGCTGCCTGCTGATTTGCAACCTCGTACCTCCAAACTCTCAGCCTTTCAGATTTATATCTGTCCATTCATGAAGGTAAACAATAGTTTTGCCTCAGTTTTTGATTGTTGTGTCAGGACACCTACTGAGGCTCTAAATCCCCAAGGCACTTGTGTTTTTTAGAGTGCAGAATTGAATAAATGTCTGTGGGAAACCCTGACCATGAGTTCTGCCTAGAGAACTGCAGAGTTGTTTGAATGCTGCCAATAGTGTGTTCTTCCCACTGGAAGTGATAAGAAAGAGAAGGCAGTGCAGTGAAATTCCCAACAGACACATAGCTGTGGAGCAATGTGAACCAAGAAAAACATCAGAACAGAACGTCAGGTCTTCACTGGGAGATAGCCCTGAGATTCTTAATGTGAGGGTGTCTGTTTTTTTTTAACTGATACTCACTACACACACATCGACTCACACACACTCCCCTGCGATGTTGATACTATGCAGACTCCACTGTGTCTAGTGGAGTCAAGCGAAATCAGTCATTTTACTAAAACAAACTCTCCTCTGCTCTCCCTTCACTACTTCTTCCCTTTTCTCTAAACAGATCCAAGTATGACTCCCTCCTCTTCTCCATCCAAACGTCTCCTAAAGGTTCTTTGATCCCCCCCCCCACCTCCCTTTCCTTGGAATGTATGGCTCACTAACCTAAA